TATATATATATATATATATACATACATACATACATACACATACATACGTTGACAGACGGACAGGCGAGATGTGCACCGATGATCGCATAAATTCGTGGCACGGCGATAGAGCTCGTTTAGGACGCGAGTGAAAAAGAGAGAGAAGAGAGAGAAAGACAGAGAGATAAAAGACGTATAAATACATACCCGGCCGTGTTGTGATATTAATACAATCACGGATCATTCCCGAGTTAGCCAGCAGCCGTGCGCAGACACTAGATTGTCTGAATCGGGGTGAACGACTTTATATAGCTTAGCGGAGATAGAGACAGAGAGGAAGAGGGTTCGTTCTTACTTCTCGCCTTGTTCGGGACGTTCGGGTTCGCTTATTCGGATAGTTCGGAATCAAAAGATCTCTAGGGGCACGCGTTTGCGGATATATGCGTATGTGAACGCGACAGAATTCATTACAGCGTAGCAAGGAATCGATGATGCGCGAAGAACGGAAGCGCTACTGTCGACAGTATTTTGACACGGTGTTTTTCTTCAGTAATTATTTTTTGTTTGTAGTAATTCTCTCAATTCTCTCTCAACATCGTCGGATAGTCTCTTCTTTCAAATATCACGTACACTATTTCTTCAACTACATGAAAGATCGTGAATACCGATGACGAATTTGTTATCAATTTTTTATCGAGGATTCAGTCTAATGGCGTAAAATGTGTCTCCGTGAGGCTATTAACGAAGGAATCGGAGGACGTACTGCACGATATTCTAGTACGCTTCGTGGAGCGGAAGTGATCTTCACTGTCTCTTTCCTACCAGTTCGGCGGGTCCCTTTTCTCCTACGTACCGGTTCCTGCCGTGCAATCGTGACCCTCTCCTCCTTGCCCCACCAACGCTCCCCTCCCCCCTTAATCGGCAATCCGATCAACCGGAACCTCTCCAATCCACCGACCCAGACCACAAGTATCTCGCTCAAGACCGCTCCTTCGACTACCAATCATGCATTTACTCAAACGTCCCTAATCCCTCGAGGACTCTTCTTCGAGATCGTCACGTCGTTATTATTCGGAAAACTCTGACTGACCGCACATATTTGCCGAATATACTCAGTCATCGGTATATTTGCTCGTCTAGAATGAGTAAACTTGTGATATTTTTGCGGAAAGAACTACGAGGTGTGAGAAAATATATAAAGATTCGAGAAAACGAAAGCGTTACTATAAAAGGAATTGTTAAGTGAAATGCCACGCGATTTATTGTACAAAATAATATTTTAAAATCTGATGATAAAAAATTGTTATAAGAAAAACTTATTATTAAAATTACTAGCAAGTACAAACCAAACGCAGATGAAAAGTTAATATATATAAATAATTTCCATCTGGACAATTGGTGGACCAAGTTTTATCACATCGAGATATTCCGTATTAAACAAGATCGTTTGTTGGTATTCCGCGATATTTTATCGTCCGTAAAAAACGTATCAAAAAATGCCTTTTGTACCGCGTAAATTCGACCTTTGAATAGTAAACTCGGTACACAGAAGTCGCGATATTAGAGCAGCGCAGCTTCTATCGCATCCGTTGTAATTGGAGCTTTAACCGGAGTGAAGAGTAATAAAGCGTAAAAACGTGAAAGAGGGCAAGGGAGAGAGAGAGAGAGAAAAAAAAGAGTACCGCGGCAGTCGTTCGCACATCGCAATATTCCAGATTTATATATCCATTCTCCGAACGCGCGCAAAGTGCAGTTGTGCGCGCGAGAACAATGGGATACAATCGAGATGCCATCTGGTACACGACGCAGCCCGTCGACGCAGTAGTGATGCGTATCGTTACCAAATTAGCATCATAATGGCGACGGTTGGTGTCGGCAGCAGGTAGCCGTCATTATTAAAATATTATGAACTTCTGATGCGTTGCGAGGATGAAGCCCACTTACGTCATACCGGAGCGGTTTGGATGACCAGCGTGCGGAGCGCGCGGGGGAGAAGGAGGAAGGCCGGAAGTGACAGCGTGGGTATCATGGCGCGAGGCGACAGGCTCCGTCGCACTTGTTCAATGCTATACGATTCAATAACGCCGCTACCTAATATGTACATTTGTATATCTACGGCAACCGCATGCTACTGTGTTACCTCGATTTTATTACGTCGCAGCATTCTACTCACAAGCCGCTTTGGCTTCAGTACTCAAGAGCGGCACGTTTTAAATTCATATCATAAGAATTTAATATTTTTATTATTTTGTCGACATTAAAATGTACATCAACTCATATCTTGAATTGTGTTTTCTTTAAACTTAAAGAATATATATATGTAGATAGATTTTTAATTGGTTCATCTAAATACTCACGGTATATTTAAATACCTTTTACACATAAATTTTAATTAATAATCACATTTTACGCGTTTTAAAGCAAAGAATTCACATAACTCGACCGTATTGATCTTCGCATCTTCGAAAGAAATCGAAGTAATATTTAAATTTTAAATTGCATGCCATCGTTCCAAGTTCTACTTTCTAGATAATATAACTGAACGAACGTTCACCGGACCATCAATGGCCGGCGGTGTGTGTCTAATCGGTTTTGGAACCGTCTTAACGGCCTGGCGCGGACAGCGCAGAACCGGATTGCAATGTGGTAAGGAAACAGAGTAGTGGAAGAAAGGGAAGAAGAAGATGAAGAAGAAACGCGATGGAGGGAGAATCAACGCTCGATGAGGAATCGATGATGACTATGCGCATATCCGTTGTTCGGCGTCCTTGAAAAGGACCATTCCCACCTCCAGGTGTCGGTCACGGGTAATCCAACCTACTGGCTCGATGTAACGAGCGGATCGAAATCGCAAAAGAAACCCATATTCGTGTCAAAACAACCACCGGAGTACGGACCCGAC